GGGAGCCCACCAGTGCAGTCCACTTCATCTGATCCATCCAGACAATCTCCATCTCCATCACATCTCCACACAGCAGGAATACACCCGCCATCGTCACACTGCCACTGGTCATGACTGCACTCCGAGATTTGTCCTACAAAATGTGAAGAGTATGAACAAGAAATAAATGTGGTCAGACAAATTAAAACAATAACTTCCTCACTGGTTGTAATTGTATTAACAAAAAGTTGTACAATCATATGACATGTGAGTGGGAAAAGATGCAAAGCAGTCAGAAATAGATGTTTAATATTCTATTTAAAATTTCTAATTAGAAAGACGACTTTCATACGGTTAAATGAATATCAAATGAAGTACAAATCAGCTCATGATTCTCGGCGTACCTTTGCATGATTTGATCTAAATAAGTACTTCAGTGCTAAATAGGATCCAATGAACGGCGACTTTCGCTTATTTTAAACGTCCTGAAACTCGAATGTTGCTAGTTTCATACTAACTTGTCTCGTTGTTACAATCATTCTGATTAGGCAAACTCCATGAAGCACAGATTATTTGAAATATAGCTCGTAACCCTGAACATCCATCTGCCGCACACAAGCAAAACCCTGACATATAGCGAACCCTAAAAGCCACCCCGCAGAAACAGGTTTGCCTATTTTTGTGAAACTGAAAGTGTCTACCCTTGGATAGTCAAAGAAAAAAAAAATACCTCTCAAAACTCTCAAATGCGCCAGAAAAATCAAACAAACCAACAGGCGCCAATCCATGTCGACCTGCGCGGCTCATCGGGATAAACAGCAGCAGCTGAGAGGAAACGCTTTTATCCGGTAGCTGCGGCGGACAGAGTCACTTCCGATCAAGTTAAAAACGAGAAATAAAATTTGATTTATTCCGCTGTGTTTAAACTTAAACTCGACGTTTTCTTAAAAAGTGCCAAATAAAACATACTTACATTATTTTTAATAATAGCAACCGCACCCTTGAATTAAGTTAATTTAAAGTTGCATTTGGAGAGCTTTCTTTTTTTTATTAGCTGGTGATGAAGTTCTACCACCAAGTCAGGCTGATGAATTATTGCCCATTGCGAAAGGTTTTGTGGTTTTACGCAGGGAAGAACAGTTACGATGTGTGTGCATGCAGTGATATTTTTGCACTGTCTTTCTAGTGTTAGTATTTCAGGCTCAACATGGTACCGTGTTACTGTGTGTGCAGTGCACTTTAAGGTTTTCATCTGGTTGTGTTACGTGCGCGCTGTTACATGAAAACATGAATTATATCCAATATGAAATTCTTTCGTTATGTCAATTAATGAAACAATTTGACAGTACTGCTTTTCATTCGTCCAACTAATTGAAACGAATTAGTTAAAGTTTTACATAAAACTAGCTAGTTTGAATAAATTTTGTTTGATGTTGTCACAATGACTTAAAGGAATAAAACGACACCTTTGAACAGTTTCACCTTTTGTTAAATGTTTTCATCAGAAGCACGGCAGCTTTGTACATGGGCTCTTTCTTCTTTTAACTGAGGTCCCGAAGCTGTTTAGTTTATGAATGGAAACGATTAGCGGGCAGTTATCACTCTGGGTGTGTTAGCTTTTAATGGCTTTAGCGTCCGATGAAAGTCGTGTGCCTTTGGAAACGCAATATTACGCAAGGAATGACTTACAGTTCCTAAAACAGTGGCCCAAATTAATTATACTGTCTTTGAACTTTCCCTTGATTTTAATTGTTTTTCTATATTATATTATATTATATTATATTATATTATATTATTCTGATAATATGCCGGAACACACGCATTGCAGGTTTCTTTTAAAACAGTAAATTAAGGAGATCACCGGTTTGCTTCCGCATATTTTCATATTGTTTATTAATATTTTGCTGATTAGGCTTCCTGATATTTATTGAAAATGTTCAGTTCGTTTTATTCATTTCTGAGCACTGACATCCCTTTAAGATTAACAATACATTAAAATTAAATTTAATTAATTAAAAAAAATAACAAACAAAAATCGTATTTATTTTGGTCTAAAATAACCTGTTATATTTTCCGCTTGTGTCCTGGACAGAAATAGGACACAAGGGGTTGCGCAGTTTGTTAATGATGTCATACAAAAAAAAAGCAGTTTTTTTGATTAACTCTCTTGTTTCTCCCAATTAATCAAGGCGCAATTGTGTAGCTCATAATCTCTTTAGCTAAAAAATATTATCATGCCTTTTAATCTGAGGGATCGCCAGTATACAAAACATCAATCAGAGTGGGGGACTCCACTTCAAAGAGCACTCTGTTTCGATAGCCCATAGGAGGTCCCTGTTATACCGCTTAGATCACAGGCGTCCTTCAGCCATTAGAGGCCTGACAGCTGTCTTCAAAGAACTTCAGAGAGACACGCGTGATTATAAATCCGGTTCTGGGACTACACCTGATCATTCTGGATCTGCCTACCGAAGAGACAACACGACAAATTATGAAGAGACGAGCTGTGGATTTCGCTTTTGCGCTTCTTCTTCTAGTGGATTTGGTTCAGGCTCTCGCCATCCCTAAGATGCACCCTGATAAACTGCTCCGTGGAAGGAAAGCTCGGGACGGTGGGACCAGACACGCTGCACAGAGGCACCGCTTTAACAGTCTGCCGCACTACATGATCCATCTCTACCGGGTCATGCTGATCGAAGACCAGATCGGTACTCAGGCTGACAGCGTGCCCCACACTTGGAACGAAGAAAATCTTCACAGCTCCGATTCTGTGATCAGCCTGGTCGCTAAGAGTGAGTATTTAACATCAGGGAAATTACGAAAACGGGCTAAGGTATTTTGAAAGCCATTTGAAAGCCACGTAGCCCAACTTTTCTTTTAGAAAATATGGATGAAAAAGAATAATTTACAAACAGAAGAACTTCATAAATACATTTAGCAGCAAAATGTACTTTAGTTTGACACACTACTACAAAATGTGTTTTTTTCTCTATTCCCCTTTAATAGTTTGCATGTCTATTGTTAAATAAGTCATAGCTTTACCCTGTGGTATAATTCTAAAAATGTCTTTTATCGTATCTGTTTCAGGCTGCCAGCAGATCGGCAGGAGATGGTCCCTCACTTTTGACATGTCCTCCATGTCTGCAAGCGACATTGTCCAGCTGGCTGAGCTTCGCATCCGCCTGCCAGCTTTTAAAGAATCTTCCAGCGCTTCAATAGACATCTACCATTCCCACAGTGAGCGGTGCATGCACTGCCCCGAGAATAGGCTGCTTCTTGGCCACCTTAGAGTTCATCCCAGTTCACTGGTGTCGCCGTCCTCCTGGAAAGTGTTCAACGTGACGCATATAGTCCATCGCTGGTTGCAGCATCGGGAGCATTTCGCAAAGAGGATGGGGGAAGAAAAGCCAGAGGAGAGAGAGCAGGAGCATGAATTATTTCAGCACCTTACAGCTGACAGGGTCATCATGGTAGTCTTCTTAAAGCATGAAGCAAAGGACCAGCGAGTACCAATGCTCATCCGCACAGCAAAGCACTCCAAGTACGCTGGTCTGGGCAGGGAGCACGTACCCTCCAGGATGAGGAGTAGCAGAGAAAAGAGGGACCAGCAGACCCAGCAGCAGAGAGAGGAGGGTGGGAGAGATGCTCCCAGCGACAAGGCAACACAAGAGGAGAAAAAGGATCATCTGTGCAGGAAGGTGGACATGTGGGTGGACTTTGAGAAACTCGGCTGGAGTGAGTGGATTGTCTATCCCAAACGATACAACGCTTATCGCTGCAAAGGGACCTGTCCCACACCAGTAGATGAGACCTACACCCCTACTAACCACGCATACATACAGGTAAGACTGAAACACCTCATCATATGCAACAGTACTGATAATGCCCCAACAGCATGAATAGATGTTCTCTAATCAATTATTTTCTTCTTCTCCGCTCTCCAGAGCCTGTTGAATTATCATCATCCAGACAAGGCACCCTGTCTGTCTTGTGTGCCCACACACCTGGCACCAATCTCCATGCTGTACTTCGAAGATGGAAAGATGGTCATGAGGCATCAAGACGACATGGTGGTGGAGGAGTGTGGCTGCCAATGAGGGAAACGCCTGCAGAACGGAAATCATATAACCCTTCAACTTGTGAACCACGGGACCAAAGGGGTCTACAGCGAGAGTACTGGGATCTCAGAGCGGCAAAGTGGGTGCGTGTCTGCTGGCACAGAGCTGTCCAGGACAGAGACTGCTGATGTGATGCAGGAAGCTTCTAGTATATATCCTGGACGATTCTCTCTAAATTACAGAGCTAAACAGTTATGAAACAGCTTCTGTTTATAGGAAATTATGTGGGACTATAAGCTGTGCCTTTTAATAGCCATGTCTCAAAAGGCACGACATGATCACAGACTTAAGCACTATATTGTCACAGAAACTATGTTGTTTTTATGCTTCAAGACTGAACCTCTAATACCATTGAAATTACAGAATGGTTTACTGTAAGCGCTTTAATTATTATCATTATTATTAATATTCTTTATTGAGACGTTTGGGTCACATTGACCTATTTGTATATTTGCTATATAGGCCATAATAGAGCAATAAATTGTTTTTTTTCTCTTAAGCAACTTGACCAAATTGTGTTTTCATTTTGAAATGTTGGTGGTAAAGAAATATTCTTACCTGTTAACAGAAAAACCACACACTAGAATTAAAAGCACAGGAGTTGTTGGGTTTTGGTGTCCAAGGCTGTAGATGGAAATGTCTCACAAACAGCCCCTGACTCTACAAAGGTAAAAAACAAACAAACAAAGAGCCCAGGATCTAGATACTGCTGAACAAAACACTAGAAGGCACTTAGGTCTATTGGGTCTGTGTCATTTGGATTAGAGAAGGCTAATAGCATAAATTCACACCCAATTCACACCCAAAATTATACATACACCCCCACTAATATTTGGTTGAATGTTCCTTAGTAAGTTCAAAACCAACAAGTTGTTTTTGGTAGCCATATCAAGCACCTGGCATAATTCTGGCTGGATATCTGACCACTCCTCTTGGCAAAATTGGTAGAGTTCATTTGGTTTCCTGGCAAGTACATGGCTTTTAACCGTAGTCTGCAAACTTTCAATTGTGATGATGTTGGGGTTTCAAAAAGGTCACATCAGGAGCTTAATGTCTGCTTTGTTCCAAAATGAGAGATCATGTCCTGTGGAACAGCCAACTATTGACACTATGTCCAAATTTCAACCATCTAACTGCTGATTTGAGGTGAAGTTGAATAATTATGAGATAATTCCATTCACTTTGTGCAATGTAACAGTACCACCAGCAAAACTGCCCAAGGGCATGATGCCAACAGTTGGGACCATGTTCATAGGTTTGAAAGCCACCTTTACCCTTCCTTAACATAGCTTTTGTTATTGTGACCAAATACCTCAATATTTGTGTTATCTAACTGCAAATTGCAGTCAAACTCGAAGGTGATGATTTTGGAGCAGGGGCTTCTTTCTTGGTCGACACCCTCTCAGTCAATGTTGATATAAAGCTCACGTCACTTTGGACACTGACGCTAATATTTCAGCAGTTTCCACTTCGTGGCAGGCTTGAACTCTGGTGGTTCCTGAGTTTTTCTTGAACATCCTAAACAATTTCCTCTCATCCTGTATTTACATATAATTGTCAGATGGCTGTGGAGTTGGCAGTTGTCTAGAAATGGCTTCAAGAAACCTTCCTAACTTGTGTAGATCTCTTTATTGAGTTCCTCGGACTTCCCCGTTGTTCTGATTGTCGGTGTTTCCAATGAGCAC